GATGAATTTTGACTAAGAGTTTGACCCAGCGCATGAGTTGCACAAAAACAACCCAGTTCCCATAAAAATAATTCATATTGGGTTAACAATTTCATAACCCAGCAGTTGGTTAGTTGAAATAACCCAGCCTATGGTCTGTTGACTGACCTTTGTATTTGTTAATAATTGTTATGGGCAGGTTATAATATAAAAATGTTTGTTATAATCATGTCTTGTGATTATTTGACAGGAGTTTTACTTTTAAACTGTAAGTGTATTTAATTTAGTTATAGTGTAAATACAATGAAAATTAAACCAGGATTTATAATAATTATCATTTGATCCATACATTAGTAATGTCTGACTGGACCTCAGGTCACTTTATGTTCAATAAACTGAGCCCTGAGGTCAAAAAGGTTCAGAACCCCTGAGTTAGACCATGTTTATCTGCATTAAAATACCAGCATGTTTATTGGTACCCCATTAAACTACATCCCATCCAGGTATAAAACAAAACATTTCTTACAAATTTTCTCCTGGACACAAAGTCAGAATTCAAGATTAATGCTAAAAATCACAGCTTTGACTATGTCTATTTAATATCTGATCACAATCACCAGATCTTTTGCTTCAGATCTGTTTTTTTGGTACCAAAATGTTAAAAACTGATTGCTTAACTAAATCCAGGTAAATAATATGGAACTTATGAAGCCATTTACAGCTAGAATCCACAAAAAGTGTTAAAATTTGAGCTTTTTTTTATTTTATTTGGTCATGCACTTTCCCTAAATGCTCTGTCAGTATTTCCTGAACTGGAACCAAACATATCTTCAGACACTCTACTAATTAAAAAACATAAGATATATGATGTCATCTTTTTTCATTCTAGAAACAAACAAATGACGCCAACCCTATAAATTATTGATATATGCCAATTTTCAAATATTATACATATTATTGCCCTTCTTCATATTTAAACCACATTTTAGTGTTAAAAAGTATATCTGAAACCACTGGGTTGTTAATGGTAATTAAATCTCATCCATTATCTTCCACTTTATTCAGAACTGCTTGAAGTGATGTAAAAATTAATTTGTCTCAACATCAATCATATGATATTTTCTTGCATCATGCTGTTTGTTGTTTTAGAGGATGTGCAGTGTGTGTTATTTATATTTTACTGTGGTGTTTGTGTTCAACTTGTGTTTTTATTGTTTGCAGTGTGTTTAATTGTGGGAGCAGCTTTGTCCAAGACAAATGTCCCTGTAGGACAATAAATTTTACATCCACCTAAAGTGTCTCTTAAAGACAGACTCAGGCAGTTTAATGAAAACACTTTAAGACCTGCAGAAATCCTTCAGGACTTAGAAAATGTCATCATGTCAGGTTTACGTACAAAAGAAGAGCTTTAACTCTGATGAACTGTAACTGCGCTCAGAGGAGGAACAGCTGGGACCTGACAGGCAGGTGTTCCTGTTACCTGGTGCTGCTTGGTTCATGTTGAGCTCACTGGTTATCAGAACCTCCAGGACCTGGACCAGAGGATCCAGACCAGCCTCAGACCTGAACACAGACAAAGACTGGATCAGATCTGGGATCATCAAACACATCTGACACTTATTTCTTTCTTTCATTTGTATGAAACGCCCTTAATGAGTCTGAGATCCTGATCAGTAAAACAGGAAGTAAACTGGAACTGGTTCTGTTTTAGTTTGATGTTTTAGAAAAATCTAAAGTTTAATTTTTAATTCATTTTAAATATATTCTCCTTCCAAACGACCAGACTTTACTGGAACCTTTCAAAATAAGAGTTTAAAACAGATTTATGACGTTTTGCTTTGAGGTCTGGGTGTGTTTATGGTTCAACACAAACATGTGTTCAGTGTGTGTTTAATGTGTGTGTTTAATGTGTGTGTTTAACGTGTGTGGTTCAGTGTGTGTGTTTAATGTGTTTAATGTGTGTGGTTCAGTGTGTGTGTTTAATGTGTTTAATGTGTGTGGTTCAGTGTGTGTGTTTAATGTGTTTAATGTGTGTGGTTCAGTGTGTGTGTGTAATGTGTGTGTGGTTCTGTGTGTGTGGTTCTGTGTGTGTGTTTAATGTGTGTGTGGTTCTGTGTGTGGGTTCTGTGTGTGTGTTTAATGTGTGTGTGGTTCTGTGTGTGNGTGTGTGGTTCTGTGTGTGTGTTTAATGTGTGTGGTTCAGTGTGTGGTTCAGTGTGTGTGTTTCTGTGTGTGTGGTTCAGTGTGTGTGGTTCTGTGTGTGTGGTTCTGTGTGTGTGGTTCAGTGTGTGTGGTTCTGTGTGTGTGGTTCAGTGTGTGTGTTTAATGTGTGTGTGGTTCAGTGTGTGTGTGGTTCTGTGTGTGTGTGTGTGTGTGTGTGTGTGTGTGTGGGTTCTGTGTGTGTGGTTCTGTGTGTAATGTGTGTGGTTCAGTGTGTGTGGTTCAGTGTGTGTGGGTTCTGTGTGTGTGGTTCTGTGTGTAATGTGTGTGGTTCAGTGTGTGTGGTTCAGTGTGTGTGGGTTCTGTGTGTGTGGTTCTGACCCTGCAGTCTGTCTGAACAGCAGTGGACTGAAGTTCTCGGCCATGGTCCGGGGGCTCAGCTGGTTCCTGGAGCCGTGCAGACACAGACGGGCCAGATGTCGGACCACACTGAGCAGGGTCAGACCGTACTGGGCGGGGCAGGCCGGAGAACTGGCCACGCCCCGCAGCACCTGGGCGCAGTCTTCCAGGTCTCGGACCTCTGCAGACAGAAACTGTTATTCTTCTGATCAAACCTGATCAAACCTGATCCAACCTGATCCAACCTGATCAAACCTGATCAAACTTTATCAAACCTGATCAAACCTGAACAAACTTGATCAAACCTGATCCAACCTGATCAAACCTGATCCAACCTGATCAAACCTGATCAAACCTGATCAAACCTGATCACTACATTAACTTATTAAACTCATTTGAACGATCAGCTCCTGATGTTTGAAACAGTCTGGATCAAAGGTTCTGTTTGGTTCTGTTTGGTTCTGTTTGGATCATTACTGCCACCTTGTGGTTTAATGAAGTCATGCATCACTGAACAGTTATATAACATTAAACATGTAAATAAATGACTTTAAACCTGTTATTTGTCACAGTGTGAACAGCTGAAATTATTAATTAATTAATTAATTAATTAATTAATTAATTCAACCTGATTATCTAAATATTTCTAAAACAAACTGTTTTTTAAGAGCTTCATTAAACTAAAACATTTTTATTTATTTGCTCCAACAGGTTCTGGTTTCTTCTGACCTTGGACTGTGTGGACCATGTCGGCCTGCAGCGAGAGGGGCAGGACAGGACCGGGCAGGTCCTGCAGGAACCGGACCACCCCGTCACACAGAGAGGGGACGTCCAGCTGCTCCAGGTCTGAAAAACAAACGCACCCCAGTTTAACCCACCAGGACCCTCCCTGCAGTCAGAAGTTGTCAGGAGCCTCACCTGTGTCAGCCAGGTGTCGGGTGTCCAGAACCCCCCCACTCATGCTGCGGTACACACCTGGACTGTCCAGACCTGCACAGGAACACACACACACACACACTGAAAGCATCCATCAACAGGAAACTGAAATAAATACGAGCTGTTTCCAACCAAACAGTAAATAATTAAAGTAACCAGATTGTTTCTCACCAAGATTAGATTTTTACTTTTAGGAAAATAAGTTTTTCTCTACAAAGTCTGAGGACCGAGTCCAACTCTTTAAATCAAAGATCAACCACAGGTGATGTGTACGCATGTTTATGGTGTTTAGTCTGGTTTTTACTGTAAACAGATGCAGATTAAAGATGAAACAATATGAATTAATGAGTTTGAATAAGTTAAATTAAATAAATGTCAGAGCGTCTGTAATTAAACGTTTGATCTTTAACAGCAGAGAAACTGTAACACCGTGTTTCCATCAAGGCTTTTTGACACGCATTTAGAAGTG